TCAGAATTCAGCTCTGGCTGCTGTAGGCTGCAAAAGCACAGCGACTGCAGGCAAGTCTGGTTCCTCCTTCATTTGCCAAGATGTAAGAGTTACCATGAACACCTAGGACTTGACTTGAAAACAAAAGCACAACATGTGTTGACAGGAAGACTCACAGCAGGTATTCTCCAGAGCTGTCTTCGAATACAAACTGTTCCAGTTTAAAGCTCGTCTGCGGTCCTCGTTTGAAATTACGAAGCCTGAGAAATTAAACTCGGGGGAGCTTGGCTCTTGAGCACAATTCTTTACCAAAGGGCAACCAAGGACTACTGAGCAGCAGAGGTCTTCCTTAGATCTAATCTAAATGTTTATAGAATCACAGAATCATAGAATGGTTAGGGCTGGAAGGGACCTTCAAAGGTCATCTAGTCCAACCCCCCTGCAAGGAACAGGGATATCTCCAACTAGATCAGGTTGCTCAGGGCCTCGTCCAACCTGGCCTTGAACGTCTCCAGGGATGGAGCATCCACCACCTCTCTGGGCAACCTGTTCCAGTGTTCTACAACTCTCATGGTAAAAAATTTTTTCCTAATATCCAACCTGAATCTACCTCCCTCTATTTTAAAACCATTACCCCTTGTCCTATCACAACAGGCCCTCCTGAACAGCCTCTCCCCATCTTTCCTGTAGGCCCCCTTGAGGTACTGGAAGACCGCTATAAGGTCACCCTGGAGCCTCCTCTTCTCCAGGCTGAACAGCCCCAACTCTTTCAGCCTGTCCTCATAGGAAAGGTGCTCCAGCCCTCTTATCATCTTCGTGGCCCTCCTCTGGACCCTCTCCAACTGGTCCATGTCCTTCTTTTAGCACATATTCAAATAACACGAGGACGAGGTATTTTGGTTAGGTCTCATGAGACTTCTCCCCTTCCCTCATCACAACACCCTTCAACAGCACAAACCTGCCTTGAGGTGGCTCTTCATGAACTGTGTCTGCGTTCCCTCTCCGCAGTCGAAGAGCCAGCACTCTCCTTCCCTGCGGACCACTAGCGCCGATGCTCCCCTTGCTGGAGAAGGGTACGCTGAGCCTGTGCCAAGGAAAGTTATATCCATCGACATTTTAAGGGTGTTGGTACGCCACCTGAAAGAGAGATTTTGAGCCGCTGAGAAAGAAAAAACATTATGCTGAGAAAGAAAAAAACGTTTGTGTTTTAAATGAAGGTGTCCTCCGTACTTTAGTGTGAGGATCAAACTCCCCTTCCTTTAAAAAATAAAACTTCCCTGGAGGGGGATGTGACTTTCAGACAACACAATATTTACAGGGACAAGATTTCCTATCGATGGAAAGTTGCCAACAACGCAGCCCAAACATAGGACCTTCGCTCGTCACCTAAACAAACAGCCCTAACGAGCCGGAAACGCTCAAATCCTTACATTCCTTATTATTTCTTTGCTTCATTTAAACTCTGAATTTTCCTGCGTGCGCTTTCCTCGGAAAGCCTTTTGAGAATGACGAACACCCAACAGCCGCTGCTGACATTTAAACCCTGCTCCTGGACGTGCGGGGCGAACATCTGCTCCCCTAAAAACCACCCCGGAGACCGGGAGAGGCAGGAGCGACCCCATCGACTTTCCCTTTCCAACGGCGTCCCCGGGAGCCGCCCGCGTCCCCCCGCGCGTGGGCGCGGAGCGGGGAACCAAACGCCGCGGAACCTGCGCGTCGCCTGAAGGATACGCGGCGCATCCCGGGACACCGACCGCTCCAGGGGGTCCCATTGTTTATGGAGCTGCTGTCTGCACCAGGATACCGGGAGGAGCCTGGCCACCCCGCCGGGGCAGGACACCCCTGGGAAAGCTGCTGGAGGGGCAGGATTTCCAAGCGCACGACTCCCGCCTGGCGGGGCGGGCTCTTCTCCATCCCGAGTCTCCCCGCGCTTTGTTCCCACCTCCTTTTCCGGCGGATGATTCCCACTTCCCTTCGAACTCCGGCTGCCTCCGCGGCTTCTGAGACCTTTCCGGCCAAAACACCGTGATTTCCGCAGAAAATCAACACCCTCCCGAAGCA